AAGAGGAGCCCATGGCTGGGGACCCGGTGGACTGGACGGTCGTCGTCCTGACCTGCCAACACAAGGACAGTGTCTTGGCCTTCCAGAAGGGTGAGTGTGTGTGAGGGACAGGCCCCCCCCGTCCGGGGGACAGGCCCCCCGTCCGGCCTCTCCCCCTCCAGCCGGGTTCCAAGACAGAGAGGTTCATGGGGCCCCTCGGTCCCCCAAAAGAGGGGAACCCCCTGTTGGCTGGGGATGAAGCCTCCGGGGGGGGAGGCAGGGCGACAGGGAGGGAGTTGAGCGGGTGCTTCGGTGGGTGGGCTTCTCGCCCTCCTCAGGTGGAGTGACAGCCCCCCTCGCCCCCCCACACCTTTCTTGCTTGGTTCCCAGAGCTTGAGATCCGGAGGGATCGGGGTTCCCTGGGCCGGCAGCCCATCCTGCTCACCGTGGAAGACCCGAAGGCCCAGGTCGGCAGTGGGGGGGCCACCCTCAACGCCCTCTTGGTGGCGGCGGAGCACCTCTCGGCTCGAGCAGGCTGCACGGTGAGCGACCCGAGTGAGCGGCCGAGGGTGCTTCGCTTGCCGAGCACATCCTGACCGGTGTGTGAAAGGAGCCAGGGCCTGCCCGCCCAGCCTGGAGACCTCCGTTCCGTTCCGTCGGCCGGTCCAGATGGTCTCCGACTCTCTTTCTGTCCCACGGGGATGGGCCCTGGGGGTGGGGCCCGGGGTGTGCGCATGCCAGGCGGGCACAGGGTCTGCCCTTGACCTGCGGGTCTCCGGTTCAGGAGGCGCCCAGGGCAGTGCTGGCCGCTGCCTGCCCTTGCTGGCGTCCCAGGTCTGCCCCTAACCCTGCCTGCAGTGCCGCCTCTGGAGGTCTCCACAGGCAAACGTCCTCCCCCCCAGCCCCCCCCTCAGCCTCTTCCTCTCCCTTCTCCCTGCCAGGTGGTCACGTCTGAGGTCTTGCAAACAGCCTGGATTCTCATCCTGCACATGGTGAGCTGCAGTCCTGGGCCTGCCTGTGCGATGGGGGTGGGGTGGGATGGGGGTCTCCTCCAGAGGGAGAGGGCCTCCTTCTCGCCTCAGCGGTGGGAGCCTGCTCCTTGGTTGGGGAGGGAGGAGCAGGCGTTCCCCCCCCCCAAGCTCCTCTGGCCCCCACGCTGCCCCACTTTCTTCCCTTCTTCCAGGGGCAGGACTTCTTGTTTGACGACTGCAGCCGGGCCTTCGCCTGCCTTCCGCTGGAGGACCCCACGGCCCCCGTGGAGGCCCTCGTCTGCAACCTGGACAACCTCCTGGGCACCTCGATGCGCCAGGTCAGCGGGGGGGAGGCACAGGTCCCATGGCAGACCGGCTTTGCTGAAAGAGGATGGAACTGGGGGTGGAACTGAGGTTCAGGGACAAAAGGAGACTCTGAACTGAGGGGGGAGATGGTGGTGTCTTTTAAAAGGGTGGCCCGGCAGACTCTGAACTGAGGGGGGAGATGGTGGTATCTTTTAAAGTTTGGCCAGTCATCCATATGTGTGTGTGTGTGTGTTTGTTTGTGTGCCCACACACACAGCTAGGACAGGTACCCAGTCAGGGCAGAGCAGCAGGGGGGAGAGAGAGAGGCCACCAAGTGCCACGTGCTTACGGTGGACACTCCTGCCAGCCCCTCAGATGATGTCTGGGTGCCCACACACACAGCTGGGACAGGTACCCAGTCAGGGCAGAGCAACAGGGAGGAGAGAGAGAGGTCACCGAGTGCCACGTGCTTACGGTGGGCACTCCTGCCAGCCCCTCAGATGATATCTAGGGCACAGGAAAGCTGCTGGGTGCACCTCCCTCTCTCTTTTTTTGGGAAGGGGGTGCTATGCAAGAGGCAACCCCCACCACAAGGCACACAGCTGGGACAGGTACCCAGTCAGGGCAGAGCAACAGGGAGGAGAGAGAGAGGTCACCGAGTGCCACGTGCTTACGGTGGGCACTCCTGCCAGCCCCTCAGATGATATCTAGGGCACAGGAAAGCTGCTGGGTGCACCTCCCTCTCTCTTTTTTTGGGAAGGGGGTGCTATGCAAGAGGCAACCCCCACCACAAGGCTCTTCCTCGGCAGGGGTGATGATTCTGCTCTTGCCTCTGTTCCCAGGTCTGCCAGGGTTCCCCCCCGGGCGTGTGGGTTTGCAGCACGGATATGTTCCTCTCTCTCCCTGCCGGGACAGGTACGTGAGCCTGAGGGGTCCGAAGGGAAGGGGGAGGGGGGTCTGTGGCGGAAGCCGCTTTCCAAGGAAGAGCTGAAATGCACTCTCATGGATTTCAATGGGTTTTGCTGCGCCTCAGGGATCGGATGGCCTGTGAAGAGTGCACGCTCTCTTTCTCTCCCTCTGCCTCCCCGTTTGTCTTAAGGTAAAGATTCCCCCCCCCTCCTCCCGCCAGGCCAATATAAAGCAGGTCCTCCTTGTTCTCCTCAGAGATGGACTGGCAGGGGTTCCAGGGAGCGAGAGCCATTGCTATCCCTGGAAGTGTCTCCTACGCCAGGCGGCACGGAGTCTACCTCACAGACACCCAGGTACGCGTGTGGCGGTCTTGCTGGGTCTCCCTGGCCACTGCCCACGTCCCTGGTTTCTTGAACCCGTGGCTTTGAGAAGCCTCACCAGGGTCAGTAAGGCACAGAGCAACCTGGAGCTGGCACAGGCGCTCTCCCTTGCACCCGGGCTGAAGTAATGCGGTCCTCTAGAGGTGGTTGAAGGGCATCTTCCATCAGCCCCAGCCGGCCTAGGCAGAGGTGAGGGATAATGGGCGTTGTCATCCAGGGACCTGTAGACCAGCACATGCTCCATCCGTGCTGTTGAAGGGGTCGTAGGGTGAGTGAGGAAATGGACTTCCGGCCCCAGAAGCTGATGGCCGGGTGGGGCCCGTTGGCCTTTTGGTGGCGGAAAGACCCCCCATCTGTTTCTCCCATGACAGAGGAATGTGGAAGGGGGTGGTGGTGACCCCACTGAGAGGCCCCTGTGGCTTCCCCTCCCTCTTTGGACTGACCACCACCCTCTTCAAAAGGGGACTGGCCTCTGATTAAGAGCTGCGGGACACCTCCCCCCGCCCCGGATGTTTTGGGGGCTCTGCCGTGGGATTGTTTTCTCTCTGCTTGGTCCCTCCAGGGGGTCGTGCAAGACATTCTGTACCAAAGCCCCGAGGAGCAGATCCAGCGGTGCCTGAGGCCTGATGGGAAGGTCCCACTGGTACGTGTGGGTCACAATCTGGGGTGGGGTGTCTGACGGCTTTGGGTTCAGTCCATCTCTCTTTCTGTCTACCCCTCCAAACCAAAGTGGCTTGATGAGATGGGGCAGGAGAAGGGAAATTCACAGCAGGATCAGGGCTACCTGGATGTCTACCTTTGGGGGTATCCTCCTTAGAGGGGAGGGTCTGGGACCAACTTTCTTTCCCATGGCTGTACCAGGACCCCCCCCCCCCAAAATAAGGAAAAGGTACAGAGTTACTGCCAGAAAAAAAACACATCAAAATCAGGAGGGGGCAGAAATCCACTGTAGTTTTGTTTTGGATGGTGGGGGGGTCCCCTGTGTGCAGTTGAACTGCAAGACCACGGCATTGGGGAGCAGGGGGACATTCGTAGCCAGCAGGGCACAGTCTGCCTGTCCTGGATGGCTCTTGGCTGGAACCTGGCACAGACCCTTCTGCCTGGCACTGCTAGGTGTGAGTTGGTGTGATGCCCATAGAACTGCTCTCTCTCTCTCTCTCTCTCTCTCTCTTTCTTTCTCTCTCTGTGTGTGTGTGTGTTTCTCTTGCTCATCCTGCAGGTGTGCGGCCTCGTGTTCTTCTCTTCAGATGTGGCCGAGCGGCTCCTGGCCCTCCACGTGATCCCTCCGCTCAATGCCTGCACGTATATGGGGCTAGATTCGGGCGCCCCCGCCCTCCAGGTGAGGCTGTCGTGCCAGGGCTGGGCCACTGGGGAGGTGGGCAGAGGAAAGGGGTGTGGAAGAGACGGCTGGGTGGCCAGGACAGGGTGGCCGTCTGGCTCTGAAACTGTGCCAACCTCAATGCCCCTTGCAAAATAGGTTGGGGGCTCAGATCTTGCTGCCCCCCTGGCAAGATCCAGAGCCCCTCTGGGCAGTTGCTCTTTCACGACAGGGGCCCTTCAGTCCTCCCTCTCCCGCTTAACACTACAGGTTAATGTGCTTCTGAGCCCAGCCGGCCCCTGAGGAGCAGGGAGGGTCCTTTTCTTGGGGGGGAGGGGGGGAGGACCCCTGCCCCTCCACTGACTCCCCCTTCCGTCTTCCTCCCACCTTCCAGCTGTCGCTCTTCTTTGACGTCTTGCTGTGCATGGCCCAGGGGGTGGGCAAAGAGGCCTTTGTCAACGGGCAGAGCCCCAGAGTGGGCCACGGAGAGGCCCAGGAGGTGGCAGCCACGCGGAGGAGCGCCCGGTCCGTGCTGTGGAAGGCGCTCCGTGGAGTGCCCCTCACCACAGGTGACGCCACCAGCGTTGCTTGCGCCTCCCCGCCCTTCCCCCTTCTGGCCCTACCGGCCTTGGGCTCTCCTGGGTCATCCTCTCCCTCACGCAAGCTGAGAAGGGGTGGGGAGGGGTGGGGGAGGCCATGATGGTGGGACCCAGAGGGGAGGCCCAGCCCCTGCCCCGGGGAAGCCAGCCAGCCTGCCTGCCTGCCTGCCTGAGAGAAGGGCCAGAGTGGAGCCCCTTCGTTCCTCCTGCATGGCCATTCCTTCTTTCTGCGCTACACGAAGCAGGGCAGAAAAAGGCGCCCACGAGGTTGTGCCAACAGAGGGCTTTGCCACCTTCCCTCTTGCAGCGAGAGGAGCGTGTGGCATCTGGCAAAGCACAGCTCTCCTCTGCCCCCCCGGCCTTCACCTGGGAGGGGGCCTCTGCGCTTTCCGGCCAATGCTTGCGATTTCTTAAGGGGCCCGAGGGCCTCCCGATGGACCAGCGTTTTCCTTCCGGTGGCTCACTTGCCGCCTCCTCTTCCTCCCCAGTGTACATCCCAGGCGGTTGCTACGACTACATGACGGCGTCTGCCAGCGACCACATCGGCCGCCTCGTGCCAGGCGGAGGCTCTGCCCACGGCCAGTCCTTCTGCAAAGTGGCCCATTCCCGTGTGGCTGTAAGTACAGGGGAAGCCACTCTGGCCACGGGGTGGGGGTGGGGGGGTCCACCCGTCGGCCTGTCTTTT